TAAATTATTTTTCTTATTTAAAAAATAATTTTTCTCACTTATGTTCTAAAGGTGTAATTAATACATTTTTTAACTATTAATTTATGTAGAAAAACAAAAAAAAATAAAAGTAAATTTAAGAATAAAAACGTGTGTTTTAATTTAATTAAGTAGTTATTAAAATTAAAGTCAAAGTAATTTAATAATAAAAAATACATTAATTATTTTTTTAACATATATTTTTAAGCCACATATTAGAGAAGACCCTTTGAAAAATAAGCTTTTGAGCAAGAAATATACAAATCTTTCACTTGGAGGCCTTCCAATAAATGATTGGATGTAAAACACCAACTGATTGTGGTACGCGTAAAATTATTAACTTATATGAGAAACGATGCACATAATAATTTTATATATAATACACTTTATAATATTGTTTGATATTGTTACTTACACGTAATATTATATGTATTATTTTATATAATTTTATGTTATTTTATATAATAATGTACTTATAATATTACTAAAACATTGTACGTAAATCATTTTCCTGGCCTCAAAATAAATTGTTGACAGAAATATACAGGTTCTTTGTGTAATTTAAACTTACAGGAAAAAAAATAAATAAATAAACCTTTTGGCCAAAATTGTTTCTCACTCTCAAAAAAAATGACCCCCAATTTATGTCTAGAACTAGCACTAGTAAGGTGATTAGTTAAGGAAAAAAGTAGGGGTAATTTGGGAATATGGACAAAAAGGGGAAAGGAAGTGAGGAAAACCAAAGCAGCAAGTGCTCAAGGCCACAGGTGAGCTAGCTGGGCTCATATATATATATATATATATATATAAGGTAATAATGTTTATTTGACTTACTTTGTAGAGATTAAGAAAAAATTATCTTAAAATTATATAATTTTAATAAATTTTTATTAAAAATATTAAAATACCTCATTTTTAAAGTATGAATTGAAGCATTTTTTAGTCGGTGAAATAAATAAACATTAATCTCTATATAAACACATTGTTGTGATATTATTAGTTTGCACTTTGTAGATTAATTTTAATTTATAAAGTA